GTCGCCGAGAAGGGCGGCAATCTCTCGGTGGGCCAGCGACAGCTGCTCTGCATCGCGCGCGCCTTGTTGCGCAAGAGCCGCGTCGTCTTGCTGGACGAAGCCACGGCCAGCATCGACTTGACGTCCGACCGGCTCATCCAAGAAACCATCAAGGAGTGCTTTGGTCACGACGTGACACTGCTAGTGATTGCGCACCGTCTGGACACGATTCTGGACAGCGACCAGATTCTGGTGATGGCCGACGGTCGCGTGGCCGAGTACGGACCCCCGAGCGAGCTGCTCGCGAACGAAGCGAGTGCGTTTGCGCAGCTTGCCAAACAGGCACGGCTGACCTAGTTTAGTGTCGTGTGAAACTGCATTCCACGTGGTCTACAATCATACATGAAAAGAATAGTAAAAGTGTGCTGGTCTTTTTATCAATCTTTATCTGGATGCTTGCAGAGCGAGTCGTGCTTTGGAAGGCGATCCGTTGTGCGCAAGCTCGTCCACGGCGTTGCAAAACTGGGCAAAGACCGACGACGACCACATGTCGGGGTACGAGAAGGGGCTTGCACCCGTGAAGAACCCCAGGTGTCCACCGTATTTGGTCACTGACAAGATCACATGCGGGTTGGCGAGAACGTCGTCGTACGGAATCGCCGTGTAGATCGAAATCGGGTCGTCCTTGGCCGTCAAGCACAAGGTTGGAATGCGCACGCCCTTGATATCTACGCTGCAGATCCATACCCTGCACACCTTTAGCAACAAGAGCAAATACGTACACTGACTGCTCGAGGCGTCACGGTAGTAGTCACTCGCGGTCGCGTACCTAGTCATATATTGTCGATCTAGAAAAGAGACAAAATATGGTGTACCCAAAGACGCGCCGGGTGAGCCGCTCGTCAAACTCGGCCGCTGTTTTCGAGGCCCGCAGCGCCGCGAGGTCGATATGCGGGTCGTTCACATAGTGCTCATGGGCGTTCGACTAATAGTCATCATGTGCACTTTCCATTGTAGAAAGAGATTGTTTTACCTTCTTGAAGAAGAGGGTGAGGAGGTTGTTGGTGAGCGCCGTGCTGTAAATGACGTTGTGGAGCCACGAGTACTCGAGGTTCCGGTTCGAAGCGAGCATGTCGTAGGGGTTACCGACCGAGACAGCGCCCGAGAGTTGGCACGTGTCGCCTTCTTCGCCCACAAACTTGAGCAAAATGTTGGCACCCAGTGAGAAGCCGCCGGCGAGCAGCGGCGCCGTCGGCACGTGCACTTGACGCAAATACTGCACCGTCTCGCGCACGTCTTGCGTGTACGCACCGCAAAAGAGCTAGAAAAACGCAATGAAGCGCCGTCATACTACTGATGTCGCGGACCTTGGGCGTGCGCACGGGGGTCTGCGCGCAGCCCCGCGCGTTCATGACGACGACGCGCCAGCCCGCCGCAAGGAGCTTGACGGCGGTCGCGCGAATGTACACCTGCGAAAACAGCACGGTCAAGCCGTCGGCACGACATGGTCAAGACGCACCTCGTTGCTGCCGCCCGTCAACCCATGCAAGAGCAGCTACGACAGTGCTGAGCCCAGTGCCAGGGCCGTGACAATCAAGTACCACAGTCGGGTGATCCTTGGCGTACGGGGTGCCCGCAGGATGCGCCGCCCAGTCGAGCGACACGATGCCGCCGTCCGAGAGTGGGCGAATCTCACGCGTGTAGTGCACGCGCGGCGTGTCGCAGCCGAGCGCGACGAGGAAGGTTTGGAGGTGCCTACGGTGTCGTTGGCGAAACCGAGTGGACGGTGTCTTTCTACCCGTTGAGGAGGAACCACGACGGCCGGTACTTTTCAACTACCGGTAGAATTGAGAGTCAGTCACCAGGGTTGGGAGGTGTCGTACAAAGCAGTGAGGTTTTCTGCAGCAGCTGCGTGTTGGCGAGGTTCGTTTGGTGGTAGAGCGACGGCGCTTGGTTGGCGCGCGCGAAGAAGGCGTAGCACATTGCGCTAAACGCGATCGCGCCATACGTCACCGGCGTGAGGAGGGCGTCCATGGTCAACGCAAAATGCAAACTGAGGAACCATCCACGGAGACCAGACGATTAACTAATCATTGTATATTCTGTCGGAGCGCTAAACCAATCAGGGTGCTGCAACGATCCTTCCCGAAGGGTCGCGTGTTGATGCTCCCGCGACATGGTTCACCTACATTGTTGATTGTAGTGGTTGCTGCTGCATTTTTGTCTCGCCGTCGTATGTAGCCCACGCCGCAGTTGGAGCTTGGTGGATGGAGGCTGGTGGTTGAGGTTAGAGCGGGGTCGCATGTCACATTTCTCAAGGCCATACTAGTATTTCTTCGTGCTCACTTGGGCGATTTAGAGAAAGAACTACGCTGCATGACACTTCAACCATGGTATAGCGTCCGATAACTCGACAGAGAAAACCGAACCAAGATGCCAGCGGCACAACATCTGTTATGCACAAATAAAAAATGATGGTCCATGGCTGTCGTCGTCAACATGACTATGATGTCTCGAGGCGGCACCTGGCGACGAGATGTTTGATGCGACTCTCTGTGGCAGCATAAACATGGAGCAATGTCTTCTTCACGCTAGAAGATCCAAAGACGAGGAATAAATTCTGGTACTGGTGGGGTGTCGACGAGCATCCTTCCTGCGTTGTGTAGGTGGTTTCCTGGAGTTTGGCACCACCACGCTCCAACGCAATGACTGTGACTATACAACGTGCCGTGATGTATGGAGCACCAAGCAACATACACAACGTCGTTATCTTGAATGAAGGTTCTTCTTTCATCCGGCCCCAAGCAGCTCGTGGCGACAAGCAGCAACAACCTTCGTTCTTGTCGCGGCACATACCGGAATGCATAGTAAGCTCTTGGCTTCGACTGCTGAAGACCAAGCATCCCGAGGCGTGGCGGCAAGGCTGATGATGTGCTTCCTTTTCCCTGCCACAACGCCTTTGAAACGCCGGTTGCCAAATTTAGTCGACTAGTTGATGCTGCGCAAGAAGGCGTCCAGCGAGCCATCAGGGCCGGTCAAGTCTCGACGCAAGGTCGTCGTCGACGTCTCGCTTTGTCGGTACGCCATCATTAAGCGCTGCCTCAAAGCCCGTGGTACACTCCGTTCTCCTTGTTGCTCTAAGTTCTTGTTTCCAGACTTCCGCCTCGTGCGGGAGAAGAACGCGAACGCCGCGTGGGACATTTGGTGGTCGGACCGCGGTGAGCTTCTCAAGGACGCGCGGCGCCTCCACGCGTTCCAGAAGGTCAACCACTTTCCGTCCATGGAAGACATTTGCCGCAAGGATTTCCTCGCGACGCACTTGTACATTTTTTCGATTTTTGTCAACGTCACACTGTATATCTCTGACAGAAATGCCATGCGCAAGGCTCTGCCCGACGCCTACGACTACTACCCGCGCTCGTTTCTGCTGCCCGCCGACCGGATCGAGCTCCAACAGGCCATGGAGCACGACGCGCGCGGGGCCACGTACATCATCAAGGTACACATGATTGTCTCTTGTCCAAAATGTCGCTGTACATGTGCGTAGCCGCGCACGCTGTGCCAAGGCAAAGGTATCAAACTCGTCCAGAGTTTCGGAAAGATTCCTGCCACCGAGCCGTGTGTCGCCCAGCGCTATGTGGCCAACCCGCTGCTCATTGACGGCTTCAAGTTTGACTTGCGCATCTACGTGCTTGTCACGAGTGTCGATCCGCTGCGCGTCCACATCTTTCGCAACGGCCTCGCTCGCTTCTGCACGACGCCGTTCGAACGGCCGACAAAGGCGAATCTGAACGCCGCGCGCATGCATTTGACCAAGTCTGTTTTCCTTTTGGTCTAGATGACAAAGCTGGACGTTTATTGTAGCTACGCCATCAACAAGAAGGCCAAAGAGTTTGTCAAATCGACCGACGACACCAAGGGCAGCAAGCGGAGCCTGGCATTTGTCATGGCGTACATCGCGCGCCACGGCCTCGATCCGAGTGCTGTCTGGGCCGAAATGTGTGACATCATTCTCAAGACGCTCCTCGCGATCCAGCCGCGCTTGCAAGCGAGCTACCGCAATTTTTTTGGTGCCGATGCCGCCAAAGGTCGGACTGAGTGGGGGCCCGCGGCGTTTGAAATCCTCGGATTTGACATCATGCTCGACGACAAGGTGAGCAGACAATCTGTCCACACATAGCATCGACACACAGCTGTAGGGAAAATCGTGGCTCTTTGAAGTGAACCACGCACCGAGCTTTGCAGGTACCCACCAATCGAGGTTGCACGTCATGACGTGGCGGTAGGTGAGGCCAAGCTAGACCGCGAGATAAAGACGCCGCTCATCGAGCAAGCGCTCGATTTGATCAACGTCACCAATAAGCGCAAGCGGATCTTCTTGGCGGTACGGGTGACGCGTCAGCCATCGTCCACACCATCTTGGCGTAGCGCAACCGACGCGCTTGGAAGGAGCGCCTCTGGAACGCAGCGCTGCCGACCAAAGCTGCAACTGAGACCAAGCCCGAGGCTACGCCCGAAACCAGTGCTGCTCAGGAGAGCGTGCCAGAGGTCGACGATGCGACCCCGCGCGAGGACGTCGAGAACAACGACGAGCCGGACGACGCAGACGAAGCTGAAGATGACGACGAGGTTGAGCGTGACGAGACGCCGTCATCCGCCAAGCGACCGTGGAAGTCCTCCAATCGCGTACACCCTTCGAATGGCAACAACCAAGACGATGCGGACGCGTCACAAGTCGAGTCGATCGAGTTCACCAACGTGTACGAGCTGATTTACCCTCCAAAAGACGCAGTGCTCCAAGCCACGTACGACAAGATCCTCACGGCCGCCGAAACCAACCGCTCCAAGCTATGGGGCTAAGCAGCATAGATAATATACTCCTACGTTCTCGGGATGGATGCGCCGACCGTTGCACGTGTGGTACTACATCCAACGACGACTAGGAACCAAGCGAGACTTCTGTCCCGTCGGACAATCACGAACGAGGTTGGACTGGCAGCATGCTGGCGCGTGGCGGCACGAGCTGGCTGTGCATGTTCACGCGGGACTGAGCCCCACGTAACCGACGGATCAGTTTCGACGGCTCATATTCCACAGAGCCATCAAGTCGAGAAATAAAATACTCTCTCTGAACCATAGACTCGGCTGCATCCCATTCTACAACTGCATTGGCCACCGCGTCTTTGGCGCTAGAGTGTTGCGCTCCATGGTCGCCAATTCCAGTTGTTTGGAGCTCAATGACGGCGCGATTCCGTTTCAGTTTCAGTTTCACCGTCGAAACGGATCAGTCGGTTACGTGGGGTTCAGTCCCGCGTAATCATATCATTGGATACCCTGCGCACTACACTGTACGACTCGTGAGGGCATCGTTCCGACCATATGGTAACGTTGTGGCCATGGCGCTGATGTTCCCAGACCTTCTTTTGCACCATGGCGACCGAGTACGTGGCGCTCAAGTCGCCGCGTGCGGAGGCCGTCGACCGGCTTCACCCGATGGAGACGTCGTCCTGGCTCGGCATCCTCTTGATCGCGTGGATGGACAAGCTCATCCGGCACGGCGCGACGACGCCGCTGGACGAAGCCGACGTGTGGCCGCTCGCGCCCGCCGACTCGGCCGCGGCGCTCAGCGACCGCTTTGCCGTGCAATGGGCCCGCGAAAAGGTCGTGCACAAGGCAATGTGGCGCACGCTCGCTCGTCGCAGCCTCTTGACGATCGGTCTCTACTTGCTCTACTCGTTCCTGATGCTTCTGCAGCCGATCGTGATCAAGTCGCTTTTGCAGATCATCCAAGGCAAGCCCACGTCGCTCGGCCTCGAATCCGGCTACGGCCTCGCGGCGCTGCTCACAATCCTCTCGTTCGTCTCGGTGACGGTCATTGACTTTGGCCAGTACCTCTCGTCGACGCTCGGCTGCAACGCCAAGACGATCGTCACGGACGCTGTCTACCGGAAGAGCTTGCGGCTCTCCGCGTTGGCCAAGCGCGGCCTCTCGTCCGGAGAGATTGTCACCTTGTCCAGCGTCGACTCGGAGCGACTCTTCCAGGCCTACCTCCTGGGCGCGTGGACGTTCGCGTCACCCATCGCCGTCCTCGCCATCTTTCTCATGCTCGGTGTTGAAATGGGCTTGTCGTCGGCGGCGTCGGCGGCAGCACCATGTTTCTCATGCTGTACCTGGGCCACGTCTCGGCCAAGTACGTTGGTGCGCGCAACGAGCTCCTGCAAGTGCAGGCCGAGCGTGTCAAGCTCACCAACGAGCTCCTCCAGGGTGTTCGCGTCGTCAAGATGTACGGCTGGGAGCCCAATCTCGAGGCGGCCATCGATGCCATTCGCACTACCGAGCTCGCCCTCCTCAAGCAGTACCAAGCCGCCGCCTCTTCAACACGATTGCACTCACGATCGCGCCGATTCTGTCACTGGCGCTCTGTCTCCTTGTGTACGTGGCGCAGGGCTACACGCTCACGCCGTCGAGAGCGTTTACGCTGCTCGCCTATATGAACGTCGCTCGACTGCCATGCATGACCTTCTCCAACGCCATCTTGTTCGTCCAGGAAGCCAAGACGTCGTGCGACCGCGTCGGCCAATTTCTGCACCAGCCCGGTCTCGAAGGGCGCGATAAAGCCATGGGCGCCCAGGATGCCCCTGTGGTCAAGATCGTAGATGGCGACTTTAACTGGTCGTCGTCGGAAGACGATGGTACCTTGACGCTGTCCAACATCAACCTCCACCTCGCCCCTGCCTCGCTCACGATCGTGGTCGGCGCTGTCGGCAGCGGCAAGTCCAGCCTCGTCTCGGCCCTCCTCGGCGAGATCCACCAAGTGCGCGGCACCCGCCACGTCACCGGCAACGTCGCGTACGTCAGCCAAGAGCCGTGGATCCAGCACGACACGCTGCGCAACAACATCCTCTTTGCCGACGCTTTCGATGACGCCAAGTACAGCGCGGTGCTCTCGGCCTGCCAGCTCACGTCCGATTTGCGCATGCTGCCCGACGGCGACCGCACCGAGATTGGCGAGCGTGGCATCAATTTGAGTGGCGGCCAGAAGGCGCGCGTGAGTCTCGCCCGCGCCATGTACCGGACCGAGGCAGATATCTACTTGCTGGACGACCCGCTGAGCGCGCTGGACGTGCACGTGGCGGGCGCGGTGTTTCGGGACTGCGTGCAAGGTCTCTTGGCGAGCAAGACGACGTTATTGGTGCTCAACAGTCACTACCATCTGCTGCCGCACGCCGATCGTGTCGTGGTCTTGGTGGACGGCGCGATCGCGGCGGACGGGCCGTTTGATGCGGTCAAGGCGCAGTTTCCGGACCTCCAGAGCTTTGCAGAAGGCGAAGCAGTGACTAAAGAGAAGGACGCCGTCGACACTAAGAGCATCGCAGCGAAAGCGTCAGATACGGCGAGCCACGGCAAGCAAGCCGACCGCCAGGTGGGCGCTGTCACGACGGCAACGTACTTGACGTACTTTGCATCGAGTGGTTGGAACGGGTCTCGTGCTGGTGCTGCTGCTGCTGAGCTACGCGCTGGCGCAGGCGGCGCTCGCGATGCTCGATTGGTTTATGGGATACTGGTCGTCGACGCCGTCGATGCTCCAGAGTACTGCCGCGCCGTACATCTACCTCGGTATTGCCGTCGTCTCGGTGCTCATGGTGTGGGGTCGCAGCTGGTACACGCTGGTGCTGGCGGTGCAGTGCTCCAAGCACCTCCACCAGCACCTCTTCACCAAGGTGCTCAGCGCGCCCGTCAACACCTTCTTCGACTTGACGCCGGTGGGGCGCATCCTCAACCGGTTCTCGAGCGACTTGGACCAAGTCGACTCGCAGCTGCCGTTCTTTGGGATCCTCTTTCTCCAGTTTTTGTTTCAGATCCTCGCCGTCGCGCTCGTGTGTGCTGCCACGTCACCGTTCATTCTGATTCTGTACCTCCCGCTGGTTTACCTCTTTTACAAGATCCAAGTCTACTACAACAAGACGTCGGCCGAGCTCAAGCGCATGGACTCGACGACGCGGTCGCCGGTCCTCAACGTCATTGCCGAGACCATCAACGGCCTCTCGACGATTCGGGCGTTTGGCATGACGACAGCCTTTGCCGCCAAAGGTCGCGCGGCCCTGGACTACAACCAGCGCTTCTTCCTCGTCTACCAAGTCGGCACGCGCTGGCTGCAAATGCGACTCGATTGGCTCTCGGCCGCCATCATCGCCGGCGTCGCCTTCCTCGCCGTCGCCACAAAAGCCTCCATCGGGGTCGCTGCCGCTGGCCTCGCGCTCACGTACGCATCCCAGATGACGGCCTTCTTCTCCAAGATGACCACGTTCTTTCCTTCGTGGACAATATCATGACGTGTGTCGAGCGACTCGAAGAGTACAACAGCCTCGAGACCGAAGGTGACACACAGGTCGTCACGACGACCGTCGACGCGTCGTGGCCAACCCAAGGCGTCGTCACCTTTGACCACTACGCGATGCGGTACCGCGACCACCTCGACCTTGTCCTGAAAGACGTGTCGTTTACCGTGCCGGCTGGCGCCAAGGTCGGCATCTGCGGCCGCACGGGCTCGGGCAAGAGCTCGCTCATGGTCGCGCTCTTCCGCATGGTCGAGGCGGCCTCTGGTCGCATCCTCATCGACGGCGTCGACCTCGCATCGATCGACTTGCACACGATGCGGTCGCGGCTCACCATCATCCCGCAAGACCCGGTCCTTTTCTCGGGCTCGCTGCGCTTCAACTTGGACCCGTCCAATGGCTCGAGCGACGACGAGCTCTGGAGCGTGCTCAAGCAAGTGCACTTGGGCGATGCCATCTCAACTCTTGAGTTTGAGGTCGCCGAGAAGGGCGGCAATCTCTCGGTGGGCCAGCGACAGCTGCTCTGCATCGCGCGCGCCTTGTTGCGCAAGAGCCGCGTCGTCTTGTTGGACGAAGCCACGGCCAGCATCGACTTGGCGTCCGACCGGCTCATCCAAGAAACCATCAAGGAGTGCTTTGGTCACGACGTGACACTGCTCGTGATTGCGCACCGTCTGGACACGATTCTGGACAGCGACCAGATTCTGGTGATGGCCGACGGTCGCGTGGCCGAGTATGGACCCCCGAGCGAGCTGCTTGCGAACGAAGCGAGTGCGTTTGCACAGCTGGCCAAGCAGGCACAGCTAGCTTGATAATGTGATTCCGTTTGATATTGACGGTCGGCTGTTGCGGGTTAAGGTCGGCTAGCACGAGGCATGGCGCGCGGGTTGGCGTTGGACATGACATGAAGCTTTCTTCCCGTGCTAAACATCCATCGAAAGCCGGTGGTATTCTAGTTCGCGCAGACCTTGTGGAAGTTGGAGCTAGCGATGCTGGCTGCTTTTTTGTGTTGTGATCGCAGAGCCGGGCTCTCCCCGGGACTCATGCCAGTACCACAACGTTTACAGTAATAATTCAAGTTGCGTCTTGTGGTCTCTGGAAGTACGCGCAATTATCTTGTCAAGATTTATAGACGTCCAGTATTCTAGGCCTGGGCACGGACACGCGCACTGCGTCACGGCGCTACGAGGCAGACTGGCGCCGATGCGAGCGACTTGCAGTTCCCACGACGTGATAATTAGAGAACACTACCGGCTATGTTGACGTTATTTATATAAACTAAACCTAATAAATACTACGGTGAGCTACTGCTAGCGAAGGACAGGAAGGAAAACTAAAACTCAAACTCGGAGGCATAACTGTCTTCGAGGCTGTAGTCGGTGGCCGCGGACGGCGTGCTGTACGTGGACGCCGTGAGTTCGTCGTAGAGCATGAACGGCTGCGGCAAGCGCATCTCGGTCGGCAGCGACTGGCGCGGCTGCAAGCTGCCGTGGCCTTCGTGGAAGGTTGGTCGAGGCTCGGACGCGCAGGTTGGGCGATAGTGCTCGGCCGCGAAGGTCGGCCGGGACGGCTCTGACGCGAATGTCGGCCGGTATGCGTCTGCGTCGTACTC